CTGTTTCCCATAAAGGAAAGAAGCCTATCTGCTTCAGTTTTTTGGATCTTGGGAATAAAGATGAGATAATTTCTGTAGAAATCCTGGGTATTCAGGTCTTCTCTAAGATGTCCTAGTACCCCTCAGTTTTTCAAACAGCAAAATGAGTTATGGGGTTTAAAATTCCACCACGTCTCACCCTGGGAACTCTCACAAGAAAGTATTCCATAGTTCCATAGCCTTCCATTTCCTGCACATCCCCCAGTGTGAATGATGCATTCCTGGTCCCAACATCTGTCTCTTGCCCACATTTTTGTCCAGTGATTTTATTGAAGGGTCCTGCAAGGGAAGGATGGTGTTATAGAAATGACTAACTTATCCGCATTCTGCAGAAAAGGTTTGGATATTAGTGTAGATATAATAGGGTATAAATACTCACATTTTACTTTAATCAGGAAAGGTCTCAGTGCAGTGAGTGGAAAATTATCCAGACCTTAGGCTTTGAACCCATAGGTACTGAAAGTGCTTACTTGGGTGCATCCACATGAGACCTTTACTGCGGATTTGGCTAATTAGCTCTGTGGTAAAATATCACCATGTACATGTGTAGTGCTATTAGAATGGAGTAGACTAATTAACTCCACTGTAGAGTAGTACTGCCAGACAAGTACTATCCTATGGCAGTTATTTACTCCACTGCAATACACATGTAGATACTGATGAGGGTGACTGAGGCATGAGGATGCTTCTGTGTGGGGACTGCCTGACAGCTAGTCCTTCACTGGAGCACACTCATGCCCCAGCCAGCCCCTCCACAGCACATTGAGCTGAGTTGGAGCAGCCCCCAGTTGGAAGGCTGACCCCACAGCTCCCTGCCAGCCAGGGCTGCTCTGACCTGGCTCAGCATGCTGAGGTCCCAAGCACACATGAAAATGTGGTGCGTGCGAACAATAAACTCCAGCAAAAACTGCACCAGAGTTTATTCAGCCACATTAACTGCATGTATAGACATGTCCACTGTGACCTTAATCATTTCTTAAAAGAACATGACATGCTGGAATTCCAGTGTGAGCATGGCAATTACTGCTCTCCAGCAGCCTCCTGAATCTCATGTGTCAGCATCTCCATGATTAAAAATGGCAGCGGGGGTGCTTGAACTAAAGCTCATTGAACTTAAGCATGGGGACACTGATACACAAGACATGGTGGCACTTTAAATAGAGCAGCTCCCCTACACCCCTGGAGCATGTGTAAAAGTGCCCTGTGATTTGAACTACTCTGCCTGAATAAGCATTTGTTACAATACAGCAATACTGACTAATATGACAAATGTAGATTTCTCTTTTGGAAGGAAGAAATTTTATTTTTTTCCCTTCCTTATTTAGGCTATTTGGGCCCAAATCTCTATCTTTTCTGACCCATGGAATATCAGATGGTATATAACTTGTCAGAAACTTGGAAAGATAGTTAATCCATGTATTTAATACAGATATAGATTATGACTATCAAATGCCCGGACTAGAAATACCATGTAACTGATTAAGAAACAAAGATAATACATCTTTAAACAACTATGCTGAAGCCAGATCTAGGGTACATGAAAAACAACTCATCATTCTGATGCATAAGCATAAGAAAACTGATTTTTATTTTAGTTGCCCTTGTTTCTTTCTTTCTTTTTGCAACATCCCACATGTTTTTTTCTACTTCCTCC